AATTGAAGGTTATACCAGAAACATTATCTCTCTCTCTCTCTCTCTCTCTCTCTCTCTCATTATCATTGTGAATTGAATTGTGAATGAAAAAAATTCTTTCAAGTTGAACATCATCTACCTACCTACCTACCTAATATTTTCAATGAAATTTGATTTCCTTTTCTATTTTCTATTGTTGTTCATCACTTTTGTGATGTGATGTACTCAGGTAGGTGTTGGAATGTATCACCTTTGTTGTTGTTGTTGTTGTTACTTTTTTTTGTGAATACCTTATTATTTTCTGGATTAATTTCCTGTATTTCTACCTGACTGTCTGTCTGTCTGAGTTTTTGTTTTTTTTCAATGACATTTTCATTTATTTTTTGAACAACAAAAGAAAGAAAGAATGATAAGAATGTTTTTCAGGTGTGTGTGTGTTATTTTCAGGTGCTTTTCTGATGATAAATAAGTTGAAAGAAAAAGAGAAAGTAATGAAGGAAACATTCAAAAATGTTATAATAATGATGTTGATGATAATGATAATTATATTAACAGATTTATTCAATTGGAAAAATGAAAAGAATTTGTTGTTGTTGTTGTTGTTTTTGTTGTTGTCCTTTTGTTGTTGTTGTTGTTGTTGTTTGATCGATTGATCAATTTGTTTTTTGCTTTGTTTTGTTTGGCTAATATTTCATTCTTTTTGTTTTCTTTTTGTTTTTTTTATTTGATTTATATTTACCTTTAGGAAAATATAACCATGTTAAATAATGCCATACAAACATCAGATAATGAAAATAATAATGAATCAACATTTAAATATTTAAAATCAATGATGGAACAACAACCAGAATTATTTTTTAATCGTAATGAATTTGGTATAACACCATTACATCGTTGTGTTTGTAAACAACGTTATGATTTTGTTGAATTTATTGTCAATGCATTACCAGATACATTGGATGCATGTGATCATGTAAGTATAATATTTTTAAATATATTTTATTTTTTTTTTATCAAAAAATCATTATTGTTTGTTTGTTTTTTGTATCTTTAATTAGGATTTTTCTTTTTTTTCAAATTTGAAGAGATTAATTTTGTTTTTTTGTTTTTAGTTTTGAAAACCATAGCAAAAAAACCACAGTTTTAAAATTCCAATGAATTTTTTTGCCAAAAAAAACTGACAGCCTTCAAAGTTTTTCGAGTTTTTCAAGTTGTTTTTTTCCTCATTATACTGAATGAATGATTGAATGAATTGTTTGGGAAAAAAACCAAACAAAAACAAACAAAATTGAAAGTTTTTTCTCTATTTTTATTCTTTCGGTCCTTTTAATCCACACATATGGAGGATTAAATCATTTTCAAAAACATTATCCACCATTTTATATAAGTGAACCTTTTTTTTGGATCGAAATAGTAGATTAAATGAAAAATTACTAATTTTTATTCTAGCTGTGGTAACCAAAGTAACCAAAAGAAAAAGAAAATTACATGTTCCTGAAACTATAGGCATAAAAAAATTGAAGGTTATACCAGAAACATTATCTCTCTCTCTCTCTCTCTCTCTCTCTCTCTCTCTCTAT